GGCAGGGGTTGGAGCTGGAGGAGCTTTAAGGTCCCTTCAACACAAACCAGGCTGGGATTCTGTGATTATGCACTTACTGGTCTGAATGATGTGCTTTTGAAGTGCTATGGGGATTCCAAGGTTATCCCACCACTGGGCAACGGAAGCCTCTGGAAGGGCAGTTTGCTCTGTCTCCTTCCACTTACAAGTCACTCCCGTTCCATGCAGGCAGAGAGCAGTTGCAATATGACTCAAACAAAGAGCAAAGACTCCCTGCTTCTAGATACAAAACATACCAGTGTCCTTTAGTGACAGAAAAGAAAAACAGTCGTTCTTTGAGCCTGACTCAGAGCCGTTTTGACAAATCCTGCTGCTGTTTATCACCCCATTGCATTCCATGAGGGATTTTTGGTCTGTGCCCGGCCGGAGGCTGCCTCCACCCAGCCTGGTCTGCCACAGCCAGCGCTGGCTCCCGCCTCGAAGCGTCCAGGCAGTGATGAAGGAGCAGCCTGGTCCATCCCAGGGTTTTTAGGGTGACCCATCTGCTCCTCACATGCTCCCTTGGTCGCCAAATCACTGTTGCATTGGATTCAGCCAAAACCCCGGCTGTCAGAGCACCCTGGGATGGGAGAGAAAAGGGCTTCTGAGCAACATTCCGGTGGCAGTGGCTTTTCAATGGCTCGGGAGCTCTGGAAGCTATGGGAGCAGGCTCTCTAGTGAGCCCAGATGTGCTTTCTCTTCATTGGGTGCGTTGTTTTTAGCACAGGCAGTTGAGCTGTTTAAAGCAGCACTGTGTCATCTCGGTCCCAGGTCAAGAGCTGGGTTAGTGTTTGACATGAGTTTTGTGGCAGGAGTGCAGTTGTAGTTGATGGAGTGTTTCGAACACAGCTGCGGGCGGGCAGGAGAGCAAACACTGGAAGCAGCAGAACTTCCCTGGGCAGTTGTTTGCTTTGGCCACTGTAGCTAAATCTTCAGCTTTGCCTTTTGGATGGAGTGAACAAATGCGTGTGCTGGGCAGCCTCCTCCCGCAGGCATTTCCTCGGGCAGGGTCTGTAAACACAGCCCTAAAATAATAATTAACTTTATTCTCTTCAGCAAAGTGTGCCCAGACTCTACTGATCAGGGGAAAAGTAATCTTCATCTGGTCGTGGGGATGTGGGCCATGGAGAGTGTTGTGACAGAAGGAAAAGGTATCAAGAGACAGTAGCAGTACTTTGAGAGCCTGCTGGCATCTGAGAAAAAGCTATTGTTGCTATTGGAAAAGAAGGATGTGGGCCATGGCTTCTGCCCTGTGTTTCCAAAGCTCGCTCTGTGGTTTGGGGATCCTCCTGGGGTGGATGTTGGGTTCACAGCCAGCCTCCTGCCATGAACACTGCAGCAGGGTGATGGGTGGGTTATAACTGGGAGAGCTCCCTGTTGACTCCAGGTGGGTTCAGGCTTTATCAAACCCTAGCAGCAGGTACAAAACCACCCTCTCTTAGCTATGAATAAAAAGGGAGTTTCCCCTTGTGTGTGGTAGGTCTTTATTTGATAGGACAGGGGCAACAGGTTTAACCTGCCAGCGGGGAGATTGAGACGAGCTCTGAGGCAGAAGCTCTTCCCTGTGAGGGTGCTGAGGTGCTGGCACAGGGTGCCCAGAGAAGCTGTGGCTGCCCCATCCCTGGCAGTGCTCAAGGGCAGGTTGGACACAGGGACTTGGAGCAACCTGCTCTAGTGGAAGGTGTCCCTGCCCATGGTGGGAGTTGGAGCTGGAGGAACTTTAAGGCCTCTTCCAACCCAAACCCTCTGTGACTCTCTTGATTTCCCTTTTCCCTGTGGACAGGCCGAAGTACGGGGGCAGGTACTGCCTGGGGGAGCGGAAGCGGTTCCGGATCTGCAACGTCCGTCTGTGTCCCCCCGACAAGCCCTCCTTCCGCCAGGTCCAGTGCAGCCAGTTCAACCCCATGCTCTACAAAGGGAAGTTCTACAAGTGGACACCAGTGCCCAACAACAGTGAGTCAAGGGCAGAGCCCGCTGCTGGGTTTCTGTCTGCGCCCCAATGAAAACCCTGAGACAGAGCCTTGCTGAGGGCTTGACTTTGCCGTTCCTGTCCAGGATTTGCCTTGCAGCGTGTTTATGCTGTATTGTACATTATGTCTGGGCTTGCAGGTCTGGGTTATGTTTGTGGCGATGCCCCCAGCTGCTGGGGTTTAGTTTCTGCCTGTTGCATTCCCAGTGAACCCCTGCGAGCTGCACTGCCGCCCGGAGCACGAGTACTTCGCGGAGAAGCTGCGGGACGCGGTCATCGACGGGACACCGTGCTATGAGATGAACGCCAGCCGTGACCTCTGCATCAACGGCATCTGCAAGGTGGGTCCTGCGCTGAGGAGGGAGCCTGAGGATCCCCCAGGCTTGGGAAACGCAGGTGGATGCTGTTATCCATCCCTTAGGTGAACACCATCCCCTCCTCACATGCACCTATGGACTGGATTTTGTCATTCACCACTCCTAAAGTTTCTTTATTTCCATAAGATAGGTGGTATGGATGTATTTCACCTCTGTGCTGGCACTGAGGAAATAGAGCACAGCCAAGGCCAGGCTGGGGACAGGGGCTTGGAGCAACCTGCTCAAGTGGAAGGTGTCGGGGGTTGGAACTGGAGGAGCTTTAAGGCCCTTCCAACCCAAACAATTCCGTGATTCTGTGATTCCATCATTTAGCATGAGGTGTAGTGAGTTTTAACAGAATATAGAAAAGTTTTCTGGGAAGTGTTTTGAAACAGAAGTAGCAGTGCCAAGCACCAAGGGGCTTTCCCAGCTTGGTTGAGCACATAACATGTGCTGACAGGCTCTGCTGCCCGGGAACTTGGGTAGGAAAAGATAAAAACATGATCCTTAGGATCCTCTTTCTGTATGAGCAGGACAGCAGGACCATGAGGATATGTTAGAGAAACCCACACTGCAGCCGATGTGGCTGCATCCCTGCCCATCCCGTGTTCCTTATTTCACACCATTGAGGACCAAGGCTGGTCCTCCTCTCCCTTGTTGGTGGCTGTCGTGGGCTCGGGGTGGGGGTGCAGGGGGAGCGGGTGCTGATGGGGCTGCCTTGCAGAACGTGGGCTGCGACTACGAGATCGACTCCAACGCGGTGGAGGACCGGTGCGGCGTGTGCCATGGGGACGGCTCCACGTGCCACACCGTCCACAAGACCTTCGAGGACAGCGAGGGGCTGGGTAAGGGCACAAAGCTCCATCCCCAAAACACCGTGTTCCACACAGGGCCAGGATCACTGCTGCTGTTTGTAACCTGGTTTTTAATCCCAACTTCTCTATTTTGATGGGATAAGACCCAAGCAGTGGTATGGGGAGATGCGGCATTGGCATTCCACTTCTTGCTCCTTGGAATAACAATATCCCCTTACTGCTCTGTGTCTGAAGGCCTGAAGACAAATCTGTGCATGCTGGAGCTGGTTTGGAGAGATTTAAGGGGCTTTGTGTGTTGACTGGGACGTGTTCAGGGTGTGGTAAAATGCCTTTCCAGTGCCCGTGTGGGAAATGTCTCACTCTGGGATGAGCTCTCCCAGCAGGGAACCAGCCAGGCTCGGTGCAAGGTGGGGTTCGGTGCCCGCTGGTGCCTTACAGAGATGTGGGGATTGGTGTGATGCTTGCACCCAAGGGACACCAGCACCCATCCAAGGGCACGGATCATCTCTGCCACATCTTTGACTCGGTTCCGTTGCCAGGTTATGTCGATATTGGGATTATCCCTGTGGGAGCCCGGGAGATCCGGATTGAAGAAGTTGCAGAAGCTGGGAATTTTCTGGCGCTGCGGAGCGAGGACCCGGAGAAGTATTTCCTGAATGGAGGCTGGACCATCCAGTGGAATGGGGACTACAGGGTGGCAGGAACTACCTTCACCTACAAGAGGACAGGGAATTGGGAAAACCTCACCTCGCCGGGGCCCACCGTGGAGCCTGTGTGGATCCAGGTACAGTCTGGGCAGTGCTGGTGGTTGGGATGCACAGGGAACTGGACAGAGGCAATGGATCTCCTGCCTTTCCATGAGCTGCTGTGGTCCATCACGGCACTCCCCTGCCATCTGAGGGAGTGCTTCTTTGGGATCCAATGTTGGGAGCAGCCAAGCACACGTTGCTGCCCCAGGGAGCGTTTCCAGCCCACGCCTTGTCCCCTTTGCAGCATTCCTCAAAGTATTTACACAGGAGAGAGAGCATGAGGAGAAAGAGCTTGTTTCCTGAGGCCTTTCCCGTATCTTATCAAGAGCAGGGGAAGAGCCCACGGTGCTTCTGGCAGGGCTGGAGGCGATGAGAGCTGGGAGCTGTTGTGGTGACAGAGGGTGGCCCAGCGGCTCCATCAGCTGTGCTGTGCTCCCACCAGCACCATGGCAAGGAGCTCAGCCCATGGTCCAAATCCGGGTGCTGCAGGTTGGATTCTGATTCCTCACAAAAACCCTTGAGGCAGAATGTAAAAATCCAACAGGATCATTTAAAATCCTCTGAAATCCAGAAATTTCAAGTTTTACTCTTTTTCTGCACATTTGCTTCCTGCAGCTGGGAGGCTGCTGATGGTTTCTGAAAGCAAAATTGCTTCCCCAAGCTTGGGCAGCTGCCCAGGGGCTGGTCCTGCTCCGAGCCCCTTCCCTTCTTGAATTCCCACCTGGTGCATCCTGCAAATGCTTTTCATATGAGCCCAACTTGCCTGTCGCTAATCCCCTCCTGTGCTGCAGCAGTCGCAGCTCTGGGGCTTATCTGGAAATGGCTTTATTTTGGAAACTAATCCTACTCTCTTAATTTTCACCTTGTATCCATGGAAAAGAGTTGCCTGGGGAATCACTTTTCAGCCTGGCTTTATATTTCAATGAGCTTTGCAGAGCTTTGCAGGGGTTATAACTGTCGCGGGGGGGGAGTGGGATGGCAGTGCAGTGCGGGGACGCTGGGCTGTCTCTGCAATTCCCTCCCCTGGGAATCACCACTGCAGTGGTCAGGGGTGGGGGATCTGCCTGTTAATGGCTGTCAGGAGCCAACACAGGCTCACAGAATAGTTTATGTTGGAAGAGACCTTAAAGCTCCTCCAGCTCCACCCCCTGCCCCGGGCAGGGACACCTTCCACTAGAGCAGGATGCTCCAAGCCCCTGTGTCCAACCTGGCCTTGAACACTGCCAGGGATGGGGCAGCCACAGCTTCTCTGGGCACCCTGTGCCAGCGCCTCAGCACCCTCACAGGGAAGAGCTTCTGCCTCAGAGCTCGTCTCAATCTCCCCTCTGGCAGGTTAAAGCCATTCCCTGTTGTCATCAGCATCAGCCCCTTCGCACAGGCTCGCGCTGGAGCTTGGTCACGTTGAGCAGCCAAAGTCTTTGCCTCTCACATGTCTTTCAGTAGAGGCTCAGGGTGAAATGTGAGCGGGATCCTGGGCTCGTCTGCCACCAGCTGCTGCTGGTGCTGGGAATGCTGCTGTGCTCAGCACCCACAAAGCACTTTGTGGGATTCGTGAGCTAATTAAAACCTTTTGACAAAAATGTTTCAATATTCATGAAGAGGTTTTGGAAAGATGCCCTCGCTCGTGCCACAGCTCCAACAACAACAAAGCTTTGGCAATAATGGAAGCACTCAGGCTAAGAAAAATACGGATAAACTCCCAGCCTTTGGGAGCGGGTGCGGGAGGTGCTTGGGCAGGATCTGTGTCAACCACAGGAGCCGTTTCGTGGGTGTTGAGAGCAGCAGTTCAAGTTGGGGCAATTAAGGAAATTCCTTCAGATGTGTGTTGCCTTCAGCCATCGCTGGTGTTTGCTCCCTGGGACACGTGGAGGAGAGAGGATCTGAGTCCTCCTCTGCTGGGCTGGACTTGTGCTGCCATCCCAGAGGACACATCACGGTGACTGATGTTCGCCTGAGTGTCCATCCATCTGGAGCAGCTCTACCATCCCTTGCTGGAGAGCTCAGGAGGAGTTACGGAGAGGCAGATGTTGTTCAGCATGTTCCCAACCAGCAGGAGGGTCATTCCTGCCCCACAGCTGCAGCCTTGGAGCAAAATCTCCTGATGCAGCTCTGACTGCAGGGAAGGGGATGGAGAACGGGATGTCTGGCCATCCGGGGCCCTTCACCATGCTCAGCCTTGAGAAGGTCATTGGATAGGGCTGCACGTATCAGTGGGGCTGAGTAGGGTTTACAGGGGAATCCTTCCAGGCTCTTCATCAGGGGAGACATAAAACCAAAGTCCTGCTGGTTCTCAGTGTCCTCACGGTTCTTACCTGATGTTTCCCCAGGCCCAAAACACTCTGAGGAGGGGCAGCTCCTCCACTGCTTCAGCCATTTGCTGAGCCTGCTGAGGACATGGTCATGGGCTGCTGCTGGGGTGCGGGTCCTGCAGCCACCTCCTGAGCCTTGTCCTCTCCCACAGCTGCTGTTCCAGGAGACCAACCCGGGCGTGCGGTACCAGTACACGATCCAGCGCCCCGCAGACAGCGAGAACGACATCGAGCAGCCCGAGTTCCTCTGGCGCTTTGGCTCCTGGACCACGTGCACCGCCACGTGTGGCACCGGTGAGCCCGGCTCCCGGACCAGCGCGTGCCTTAGGAATTCCTGCGTCTTCGGTTTCGGGAGGTCTGGCATGGGGGATAAAAGGCAACATCTGCTGTGGTCACTGTGCTGTGGTGCTGGGACCCCAGGCTTTATCAGCACTTGGCTCGGTGTCCTGTTACCGTGCTGGGCGCTCCTTGGCGTCAGGGTGATGGAGACAAAGGAGCTTTAGAGAAATCCAGGGAGTGTGGAAGAGCTCCTGCCTGGCTGGGCCTCTCCAAGGGGGATCGTTTACAGGGGTTTATGGAGAGAAACATGGGAGGGTGCCTGGTGCAGGCAGAGCACTGGGGTCCTGCGCTGCCCTGTGCTGTCAGACACTTTTTTTCCCCTCCATTCAACTCCACCGGGCATCCCGGGGTCCCCAGGGCAGCTTTTGGGGTGGCCAATGGAGGGAGATGGTCTGGGCATGCTGTAAGGGGGGAGGCTGGGACCAGTGAGTGCTTCCTCAAGAGCTGCTGCCACTGAAAGAAAGGGAATTCAAGGACACTCACACTTTCTAGGTAGCACAGAGTGCTGGGAGATGTTTCCTGCCTGTTCCTAGGAGTGGGTTTCTGTTTAGAGCAGGAGGATTGTGGTGCGGCAGGAGCTGGAGGGGTGTTTTACATGCACTTATGCTGGGAGTTTGTTGCTGTGGGTTTGTATGGGCGCTGCAGTGTGGGAAGCTGAGGAGGATGGGAGCTGAGGGCACTTGATTTCATTTAAAACCAGCTTTCCTTTGCAAGGTTCAGCTTCCAGAACAGGAGGGAAACACAGGAGCAGGTCGGGCAGTTGGGTGAGGATTCTCACCCTGTCCAGCCGCAGGCAGGCAGCTGGAGTTGGCTGAGCCCCTCTCCCTGGGCTGGGTGATGGTGGGAGCTGAGACATGGATTTGGGATTGCTCAGACTGACCTGATTCTGCAGGGCCCGCCCCAGGGCACCAGCCTCACTGGCCCTATAAGCTCTCAAGAGCCTGAGCCCAAGCACAACTCGGCAGCTTCAGCAGGGTTGCATCAATCTCAGCTGTTGGCAGTGGTTAATAGCTGCAGCTCTCTCGAGTCAGGGGTCAAGTACGTGTTGCACAAGGGAGGACAGAAGCAGGCAGCATGTTGAGGGGGAAATGTCACCCTGTAAGCACTGCAGATGGGGACACAAGGCTTTGGCGGGCAATTTATCCGTGAGCTGGGGAAGGAGCTGCCAAAAAGAGCTGTGCT